GAGCGGGCAGCCGAGACCCGGGATGTGCCCTGAGGAGAGCGGGCAGCCGAGACCCGGGATGTGCCCTGAGGAGAGCGGGCAGCCGAGGCCGGGATGTGCCCTGAGGAGAGCGGGGATGCCCTGAGGGCAGCCGGCAGCCGAGGCCCGGGACGTTCCCCAGCCCCGCGGCTCCTGTGGCGGGGCGGGCCAAGGCCGCCGGGTGTGCGCGGCCCGGGGAGGCGGTGGCGGCGGAGGAGGAGGAGGCGGAGGAAGAGGAGAGCGCGGCGGTGAGAGGGGAGGGCAGGGCTGAGCCGTGCCGGGCGGGCGAGTGACACCTGGGCGGCTGCGCTGCCTCCTCCTCCTCCTCTCACGTAGGTTTCGACTTTCTTCCCCGCCCGGAAACTTGGTAGAGGCGCCGCGCTCGCCGCCGTCGCAGGCCGGGTCGGCGCTGGGTTTCCAGCGCCTCTTCCCTCCCCATCCCGGGGGTGWGCGAGCCCTTTCCCGCCGCGGCGGCCGCAGGTGAGCGGGGACAGTGTGGTGGGCGTGAGGGGGTCCTGCCTGCACTGAGGGACGTGGGAGCGGCGCCGGGCTCCCACCGGGCTGAGGTCCCCTGAGGGACGCGGGGGCTGAGGTCGGGGGGTCCCGCCGGGGCTGAGGGGATGCGGGGTCCCTTGGAGGGCGCTGGGGTCCCTGAGGGGGGGTGGGATCTCCTGAGGAGCGTGGGTATCCCGCTGGGGCTGAGGGGAGCGGGTCCCCTGAGGGGAGCGCAGTCCCTGGAGGTCGCAGGGCCCCGCCGGGGCTGAGGTCGCGGGGTCGCGGATCCGCGGCCGAGGGCGGCAGCTCCGTCCGCTCCCCGTTCTCCCGGCGGAGGCTCTCGGCCGTGACCGCGCGGGGCCGCAGCCAATGTCCCTTATCAGTGACACGGGCAGCGCAGGTGAAGGCTGCCGGCCCCAGGCTTTAACTCTTCACAGCTCATGCCCCGGCGGGACACCCCAAAACGGGTGATTTTTTGCTTGCGGGGGTGACAGAGGCTGTGGGGCAAAAATGTCTTTGCTAGGAGATGGAGAGGGGATAAGTCAACGAGTTTACTGGTAATTAATGCATGGGGGGGAAAGCCTATAAATAGAAGTTGAGATAAACAGACAAAGCGCAGTGAAGTGAGAATGTGGACCTTTTGCATATGCGTTAAAGGTAAAAAGTATAGGCGATGATAAATACGAGGTAATGCTCTGGAGAGGCTTAAGTTGAACCCGATATATCTGAAAAGATTTTTATTCAATTTAGGAGGGCATTTTTGCGAGATCTGTAAAGTGGGGTGAGGCTATGTGCTGCTCTGCTTACCTGGGTGCGCTTGGCATCTTGAGGATGTCAGAAGGAGGGAGATATGATAGAGAAGAGGGAGATCTGATAGGGAAGGAGCAGACCAGGCAGCAGCCAGCTGATGCTAGCGCAGGAGGTGGCAGGGACAGCGGGACTGCCCCTTTCGGTGGCACTGCAGGCTTAGTTTGCTTTAAGTCCCACTTGAAACGGCACTTTCAACTTCTTGAGTGGTTTTTGGGACCTACTTTACTTTGGGAAAGTAAGGAATGCAAAATGAGTGCTTCCCTGCTGCTTATCAACCCGAAAAAAAGGGTCATATTTAAACTTCTGCTCCAGTTTTTTTAGCCAAGGCGAAAAGACCAGAACATAAAGTCTCTGTAGGAAAAACTATTCCAGCTCAAGTGCAGATGTGAGTGGTAGGGAATGTCCCTGATGTACAAGGGGTCTGTCAGAGAAGGGGCACAGAGGAGATAACTGGCGGCCCAGGGAAGTTTCTGTCACTGTCACAGAACCCCAGAGYTGTCCTGTGTAATCCTTCAGCCCTGGGAGGCTAAAGCAGCCCAAGGTTTGGGTGGTGTGGAGAACTGGAGCTCTCCTGCAGCAGTGCCAGTCGTGTGCTGTGCCTTTGAGGGACAGCGCTGACGTTTGTCCTTGATGCCGGAGCTCTTTTGGCAGCTCTCCAGCAAAGAGAGAGCAGATTGCACACATGGCTCCTTCAAAACAAAACTTCTTTCTCTGAAGTTGCACACTCCAAGTCGTCTTTCACAATTTCCCTAAGCAGATGTAGTGTGTCTGCTGCTGAAAGGGCCTAAGGCAGTGGGAATATTTATTCCCTCCCCCAAAGGGATTTGCTCCCTCAACCAGCTTGTGGAGTCAGAACAGCACCAGTGCTTGTGCAGAGCCAAACAAAGGGGTCATATGGCTGGGGATGGAGTGGGGAAATGATAAACAGGAGGCCAACCTTCTCTGGGGCTCCCCAGCTGGAGAGCTCAGCTCTGYTGGAAATCCACACCTTCACTTAGTGGTAGCATGCCAGCTCGGTGCAGATGGAATTCATTTAAATAACGGGGATGCACTGGCATAAAACCCCGTGGGATGAACGGGAGAGAAGGACCTGTGCTGTGTAGTAAAAAGGAACATCTGTCGAATGACAAATTTCAAGTTTTTAACCAAATGAATACAGAGGGAAATGAACAAGGGTTAAGAAATAAACCCAGCCATATGGCCTGGGGAACCATGGCTCAAAAAGGTGGAGGAAAGAGCTCCAGAAGGGACCTGGCAGTTACATGACCTCCAGAACACCCCACGAGGTTCAAAGATACCTGATGAAACAGGCTGAGGGTGATTCTGGGTAAACTTAGTGCTCCTTGAATGGCAGTTCCAGTAACTTCTTGAAATTGTAATTAATGGGTTTGTAAACTATGGTAGTGCAGTACTAAGTGTGGTTAATAAAAGAATTTACACGTTTATGAGATTGTAGAGTCTTAGTCTTACATTGTATAATGAGAATAAAGATACTTAAAGAATTAAGTATCACTGCGTAATAAAATATATGTAGCTCATGAAGCACCCCTGCTGTGTTTTTTCTTCTTCTTTCATTGCTATATATATCTTATTTTCTGCATTAAATTAAAATCAYCCTGCTGCAACAGCTCTATTGATTTCACTTTGAAAATGAAGCTGCATCATTTCATTCTGCTCGTGTGGATGTCCCCAGAGTAGTTGCAGCTGTTGCCTTACTCACAGGCCTGAATATGTTTTGCTGGTTTAATACAAAACCCTCTTGTTTGGCTTTTCCTTCTCGGTTTACTTTAGTGGTGGCTGCTCATACAGTTGTTAGGAATTGTATTTGACAGTCCCTCATCAGTTTATGGTCCCTGATTTATAGCAAATAAAACGTTGCTCTTGGCTTAGAAATTTCTTGACACGAATGAAGTTTGAAAATATGAAAATATCTGGCAGTTTTTCTGATATTTCAGATGATAAGAAATTGCCCACGAGTCAATATCTCACAAGCCATCTAAAGGGTTAGAGGGGATTTAGATGAAYGAGTAGTAAGAATTACTGTGTTGGTCCAGGAAAAAGCACTTAGGGCTGAAAGGAGGGAAATGGAATAAAGCTGGARGAATTTGGAGAGACAATCAGCAGCTTACAGGCAAACACTTCTTTTTATACACATATAGATAGTGATCCCCTGAGTTTAGAGGTTCTCTGTGCCAATTTTGTTTAGAGAATTAGTGCTCCTTATTTGGAATATTCCAGAAGGCAAGCACAAGAAGGGATTCTGTTTTTAAAAAGTGTTGTCTAACTTTGCCTACTCTACCTTAAATCATGCAATTTTTGTTAACAGCAGTCTCTTTAAAAGCTGATTTTCTGAGAATTGAAAAGGAGTTGAGATAAAACTTGTCCTGTTCTCCTGAGGGTTCAAGGGGCTCACCTGTGACATCAATGTGGCAGTTACTGAAAGCCCAGTACATCATGAGCAGCCCTATTCCATGAGCAGCCCTATTCGTAAAGTTCTCAGACTTATCTAAGGGTGGGGGGTTGATAACAGAGAAATTCTTCTCACCYAATAAATGCTATTGCAGATCTCTGGACTGCAAATAAATAACGGCAGCAGTCCCTGCCCTGGGAACTTGGATCTGAGGATTTCCTCTTTTACATGATCTCAGCTGGTGGGGAACAAAAAATTGCCGCGTGGTTATTTCAAGGAGGATACATAAAAATAAACATAATGGTTCTCCTGGGCCTTTTAGTCTTTAGGATAAAACCCAATTCCCTGTGGGATCAACACCTGGGGCTGCTTTAGCCCCGATCTCCAGGGGCTGAAAACCGAGCGGGGAAAGGAGATCCCTCCCCCTTCCCTCCCCACAGGTCGTTCACGGCTGGCTAGGGAGGAATGTGGCTCTTGCGTTGGTTTGGGAACAGCTCAAGGACTTTGCTCTGTTGCTTGTGTTGCTCCTTTAGCCGATGAAGCAGCCACTCCCATTTAAAAATTATTTTTAGAACAAGGGAAAATATAATTATCAATTCACGCATATTACAAATATGTGCCCAATACGGTGAGATAACAATGGGTTTTTAAATCCTGTTGCTGGTACCAGCTCAGACACAGCCTTGAATAGGAATACAATTTGAAAAGAAAGAAATCCCGTATATAAAATGCCTCTTGCAGCTTTGTTTCTCCCAGCTATGAGGGTTGTTTRAAGTCAGTAAGATACACCAGGAGAAAATATATTAAATTGTGTGAAAGAGCTTAAATTCCATGTGTAACTGTGCTTAAGCTCATGAACCAGTAATACAGATGTCCTGAGCAGCAGAATATGTCTCAGGTCTTTTAAAATGAGATACAATACTCATACGAGTACAGAGATACGCCCGTCTGTCTATGGGGGAATGTAATTCTGAATCCAGAGGCTTTTATATATTTTTTTTTTTACTTCTGCTGCTTCATTATTTACTTAGKAGCTGTCACCTGTAGTGAAGGCTATTTTTCAGCTACTGGTTGCAACAGCTCTGCCTACCCAGAGGCACTGGYAGAGTCTAAGTTGACTTCAAACTCAGCTGCAGCTGCCCTGGGGAGCCACAGTTTGAGAAGGTTTAGTTTTGTTTAAATGAAGGTAACTTGTTTTCTTTCTTTCCCCTTTACCACGATCTGATGGTGAGATGGAATGTAAAGGGGAATTACAGACTTAATTAGCTCTTAATTCACCTTTTTTAGTTAGTGTGAACAAGCTTGGGCTAGAAAGTACTTTGCATAAAAAGCCCTCTTACCCCATGAAAGGAAGTCTGGGGTGTTGTGTCCTGAGCAGGGTGATGAGTCCCGCTGTCACCCCGCTGTCACTGATGGAATCAGGTACAGGAGCTGTTGGGAAAGAAGAGCCAGGCCAGGGGAAATGTGCTGGTCCCTCTGGAATGACTCTCAGCCRTCCTGCCTTGGGTTTGTTTTGTGGAGCTGAGATTCCAAGTGCATGTTGATAGAAAGGGAGACTCTCACATGTTGTGCTAAATCCTTTRAACAGAACAGCATTTAAAAAGTAGTGCTACTGAAACTGAGACTTGGACCGGGTAATGAGGAGTTATGTGCTGCCTTATCCTGCAGAAAAGCCCTAATCTGGTGTTTCTGATGTTAAAAACTGTCTGTTGGTAGGAAATAYTTCATCTCCAGGTGCAAAACTGCTTTCATGCTGCTGGATCGC